GCCATCACAGGGATAAATTACACTTTAAAATTGATTAAAATAGAAAACGGTTCCTTTAAATTTTAATATTTCACAATATATAATAATACATAATACATTTTTACTGTATTTATTGATAATATAAATGCAGCCATTGTGAGCATAAGTCTTTAAAAACATTAAAAAATCTTTATTACTCCAAACTTTTGACCAGTAGTGTATCGTCCATGTATGTAGCTCAAGTTCAAGTTTGAAGCCATGAGGAATAGTAGTAGCATGTTTTTTATAAATTGAAATTGATCACAACTTCTGTTTTAGAGAAAAGCCATTTTGCCGTGAAGCCATTCCTAAAAAGCATTAAAAAAAAGCTTTTGGTTTAGAGGAAGTTGATGTGTTCCCCTTCCTGCCTCACAGCGAACAGTGTGCGAGTGCAACTATTTGAGTGAAACAGGATGCAAATGAGTCACATCATGTGACTGCAGATCCCATAGCAGACTGAACTATAGGGAACGACGTGTCTCATTCCACGTGCACTTCCATAGACACCATTCAGACCGCTCACACTTGTGCAGCAGCACGTATAGTTTGTGATGAGTCACAGTCACTCAACATCCTCCCTCCTTCCTGGATGTGCTGTCCTGCAGCAGACAAACAACACTCTACTGACCAGTCTTGACCTCTTGGTAATTACATCATGAGTGACATGTCTCATTACTGGCATTTAAGTGTATGTGTGTGATTACTGTACATGCTGAGCTGAATATGTAATAACTTTGGATGTGTCATATGGGTCATTGACATAAGATAGTAAGAGTCTCCAGAATTAAAACTGGCTTCATGTGGTCTTGAAAAGCTTTTAATTAAATTATAAAAAATAAAAAAAAAGTTTACATTTATTTTAAATTTAAAGTTTAAATTTCCGCTTGCTCCGGGGTTTTTTTTTTTTTAACACTGAACTTGAAACTCATCTATGCTACTTTGTTCAGTTTTTTAAACTTTTTCCAGTTTGGCGATTAAATCAACTGTTTTAGATCACCGCTCGAGTTGAACGTGATGCATCCAGTGTGTGTAAAACCTGTTGTAGACGCAGCACTGCGCTTTTGCCCGGTTTGTGACTGCCATATTTTGCTATTTTGATGAGATAATCACTAAGTATTCTAAAATAAAAGCAAATAAAGTGTGAAAGTATACATACAATTAGTGGTCGACCGATATATCGGCCAATATTTGGCATTTTTCAAATATCGGCATTGGCCGATAAGTTTTTCTGTTTGGCCGATGCGTTCGAGGCGTGACTTTTATTTTGACGCGC